GATTTAATCAACATATCTCAATGTTCAACCCCCAAAATATGTATAATCGATTTTGATTCAACAAATGAAATAAATTATTTTTTTAAAAAAGATAAAAAACAAAAAATTTTTTTTTAAAAAAGTGAACCATTATTACCACATCTTCTCTTCTTCCTATGACTTTGTCTATTCTTCCACCTGACCTTGACCCACTGAAAACCAGAAATTTTCTGACACAAGCTTTGATCAAATTGGGACTCACAACAGGTTAAAAGAAAATCAGGTTCTTGAGGGCAAAACAAAACAAAATATACACAACATCGGCCTTTTCTGCCTTTAAAGTTTTGTGGGCTTGGGTTCTGGAAAAAAATAGTCCTCTTAATATGTGTTTATTGATTAAGTTAGCAAATGTATGAATATATTTTTTTTAATAAAAAGTTAATTCCCGAACTCCATGAGGTACATTAGCGGAAGAAGTCTCTCACTACATTTTTGGTCTGCAAACAATGCTGTCATTGTTGTATTACTGAGAAATTCTCAACACCTCATTTTAACTGTTAAATGTTATTATTTCATTATTGTGTTCCAACTAGCTTTCAATTATTCCTTCCAATAAATGAAATATTGCAGAAATGACAGTTCCATATGCTCTCTTCTTATCCATTTATCCAACTGATGTTCCATCAATTTTCAATACTTTACACGTAGTATAATACAAAGACCAGTAAAAATCTCTTTTCGTCCCTTCTTAAGAATTTGCTTCAACAAGAAATCCAGCAGCTTGTTTTGTGATATGGGTCAAATGTCTCTTTCGCTCTGTCTCCCCAAAGGGAACTTTTTATAAGCTGAGATGAACCATTCAGATTCTCCCTCTTGAAAGGTTGAGCTGAGAAACCAAAACTGAGTTATATGATCCTGGCACTGAAGATTCTCGAGCTAATACTAACATGCTTTGGTCTGCATTTTAGAGAGGTGAATGTAGGTGAGTTGTGCCTGGGGAAGGGAGGAAGGTACAAGGCCCATTGGAGACCAATTACTAGGGAAAGAGGTAAGGAGAGCCATCAGGTACCTGCTGTGGAAATAAACTAAAAGAAGACTTGGTAAGTGGACAGAACAGGGTATTAGTGGAAACAGGAACAATCAAAGACATAGGAGTACATTCTGTGACTGCAGGGGACACTGATGCCTTTAACATGTAGAGACCACAGAAAGAAGTGCTCCTTTAAGGGTCTAGACGTCTGGCAGTCGACTCAAAATTGGGAATTCAGACATACTTCCCTTTGTGACTTAATATTAGATTGTTTAAAAATTGTGGACTGATGGGTTAGCTCAGTGGTTAGAGTGCAGCCTTATAACACCGAGGTCAAGGGTTTTGATCCCCATACTGGCCAGCTGCCAAAACAAACAAACAAACAAAAAAATGATATTAACGCCAAAATTTTTTTTAAATTGTATTAACACCAGCTAGCCACCTAAAAATAAAAAAAGTGTATTTACAGTTGGGTAGGAAAGCAATATAATGACATTGCTAAAGAGTGGCAGATGAACAAGGGGAAAAAAACTACCTACAATCCTGCTGTTATCGTCTTGATGTGCAGTATTTTCTTCCCAGTCTTTTTTTCCGATTTTTAAAAAATGAACTCTTAGATTGTTTTTAAATAAAATTTTTAATTTGGGGCAAGCCAACACTTCTGAGTCTAGGGCTTCTGAAAGTAAGATTTTTGGAGGCATGCCGGGTAAACAAAAGTAGCTCAGTAAATATTTGCTCAATAGTGGCTGGATTGATGATTTTGGAACTACGAGACTAAATATAAACAAAAAATGTATTCTTTTTGAGAATTTAAATGTTTCCTTTAAACTGAAGGTAAAATAGGTTGATAATAGGTCCCTTTCCTTTCGCGAGAAAAGAAGGAACAACAGAGCAACTTACAAGGTGAGGAAACTTCTCCCAGAAATTTCCGGACCCCAAAGCCCCTCCACCCCTGCTCGTCTGAAAATAACCCCTTGGTGGGCAAGAGCCAAAGTTTGAGCAAGCGCAGTGAAAACGCAGCCGGCCCCGCCCCTCGGTGCCGGCCCCGCCCCCCGCCTCTCGCCAACCCCCGTTTCCGGGGGGACTGTGTTCCCGAGACACTGGTCCGACTTTTTTCCTTCCGTCCTCCATTGCTGCAATGGCGTCTGGGCTGGTGAGACTGCTCCAGCAGGGGCCTCGCTGCCTCCTGGCTCCGGCCGTCCTGACGCTCGTTTCTCCAGTTCGGGGAGTGAAGAAGGGGTTCCGCACCGCCTTACGCTTCCAGAAGGAATTAGAACGGCGGCGCCTACTGCAGTGCCCGCCGCCGCCTGTGCGCCGGTAGGATCCGCCTCGTGAAGAGGTCGGGGTGGCGGTCGGGGACACTGGGCCTCCTCCCCGAGGTTTGGACCCGGCGGCGGATGAGCGCCTGGCGTCAGCCTTGGAAGTTTTGATAAACACACCCGTGGGCCGTGCACGCGAGGCTTGAGGCAAAGGAGGTGGATTTGTGCAGCGGGCGCAATGGGCGGCTCCCACTTAGGATCTCAGGGACTGAAAATTGTGAGGAATGGGGTGGGCTGGACGGCACTCTTTGTGGGGACTGGGTGTAGTAACCCCCGTTTTGTAATGTCTGGGAATTCTTCGGTTACGGATAAGAGGGAAGAAACTTCACAGCGTTGCGAGTTGGGTTGTAATGTCTGGGAATTCTTCGGTTACGGATAAGAGGGAAGAAACTTCACAGCGTTGCGAGTTGGGGGGGGGGGGGGGGGGCGTGGATTAAGTATCCACAGCCGCAGTCCACTCTCCAAAGTTAAAGGGAAAAAGTTTAGCTTTAGGTTTTTGCCTCAATCTTGTTCCAGTAGTAAAAGATCTGGCAGAAGGAGACGGAGGTTTTTATAGCTCCAAATGAGATCATACCTTACATGTGGTTCTGCATCTTGCTTGTTCCCTTTACTAATGTGTCTTTGACATGTTGTCATGGCATCACAGACAGATGCACCTCACTCTTTTTTATGGGTCCGTTTACAAGCATTTGGGCTCCATACTATGGCTATTACAGCCAATGTAACAGTAGATATCTTTGAAGTTATTTCACCTTTGGGAACTTACACATTGTATGAAATTTTGGTAACTAATATTGCTCGCCAAAAAAATGTGTATCCAGTTTATATTCTTACCAGTAGGTCCACTCTTCTAGCACAGAACATTATGTTCTTTTCCTAACAGGCAAAAAATAGAATTTCTTCTTAATTCACATTTCCTTGCTTATTATATGGTTAGGTTTTATAGGCTTTTAAAGTTGGAAGAAACTTTATGGATTATATAGATTATATAGATCTGTATGTTATATCGATCTTACGACTTTCAATCCAGATCTTTCTACTTTGATGCCCATTTTTACTTAAAAGGCTTTTATTTGGAGTTTATCTTTTTTTAAAAAAAAGACGTTTTAGTTCATTCTTGGAAATGATTACAAACTTTGAACCTACGTATAATATTGATACTAGATTATTTAATTACTAATTTAAATGGGTAGTTCAAAACTTAAGTCAAAATACAAAATAAATATAATGTACTTAGTATTTATAACCTAAATTTTAAAGAAATTAAAACTATGTTTCATCCTAGGTGTAAAGCATAGTTCCATGGTGAAAGCAGAAATAAGGAACCTAAGTTAGGATAATGGCTTAGTTTCTGATGTTGAAGAACCACTTTAATGTGGCAGTTGGGTCAAAGGAAAAATTAATCCAGCCGCATATAGTATGTATTTTCGTATAGCAAAGGACCGCCAGTATCATCTGACTTAAGAGAATATCAAAGCCTGGTGTTAAAAAGAAATGTAACCTTTTTTCATTTATTTTATGTAATAAAATTATAGCACAGTGAAAACATTTTACATCATTGTAACATGTTGTTCTCTTTACCGTCTCTTACTGTCTGTATGTTTTCAGTTCAGAGAAGCCCAACTGGGATTACCATGCTGAAATACAAGCTTTTGGACATCGGTTACAGGAAACCTTTTCCTTAGATCTTCTCAAAACTGCATTTGTTAACAGCTGCTATATTGAAAGTGAGGAGGCCAAACGCCAAAAACTTGGAATAGAGAAAGAAGCTGTTCGTCTGAATCTTAAAGATAATCGAGAACTATCTGAAGAAGGGATATCTTTTGCACAAACTTGCCTCACACAATTTTTTGAAGATGAGTACCCAGACTTGCCCACTGAAGGTATCAAAAGTCTTGTTGACTTTCTCACTGGTGAGGAAGTTGTGTGTCACGTGGCTAGAAACTTGGCTGTGGAGCAGTTGACACTGAGTGCAGAATTTCCAGTGCCCCCAACTGTATTAAAGCAGACTTTCTTTGCAGTAATTGGTGCCCTGCTACAGAGTAGTGGGCCTGAGAGGACTGCACTTTTCATCAGGGTAGGTAATTATTAATTGCACATGCTCAACATGCTTGAAGTGGGCAGAAAGAAAAATTTCTTTTTGTAATTCATTTCTTTAATATATCATTTTGGAAGTGAATTTTTCTGCCAACAAAAATTGAGAAAGATTTAAAGCTTTTTTATGGTAGGGCCTTAATTATTTGAGTTGTCAATTGTTGAGGATATCATCAGAAGTGAATATTAAATTCTGGGTTGTACAAAACTATGCTATCTACCCTAAGTGAATTCTTGTATTGAGATAACATGCTGTACCCCAGAAATATGTACAAATAAATGTTAAAATATTTTGAATTAAAAAAAAAAAAAACCTAAACATTTACTGATGAAGTCACCAAATTTGGAGATATGCTGTACCCCAGAAATATGTACAAATAAATGTTAAAATATTTTGAATTAAAAAAAAAAAACCTAAACATTTACTGATGAAGTCACCAAATTTGGAGACTTTAGGAAAAGAAACTACTATAATATCTAAACTAGAAAAAGAAACGGAGGGGTGGAGGCATGGTGGGGAGAGAGCAGATAAATGCCCAGAGAGAAAAATATTTAGAAACGGAAACAGAGGTCTCCTCTGCAACACTAAATGCTTTTTTTTTTTTTTTTTTAATAAGATGACAGGTAAGGGGATCTTAACCCTTGACTTGGTGTTGTCAGCACCACGCTGTCCCAAGTGAGCAAACCGGCCATCCCTATATAGGGAGCTGAAGCTGTGGCCTTGGTGTTAACAGCACCAACACTCTCCCGAGTGAGCCACGGGCCGGCCCAAACACTAAATGCTTTTAAGGACAAAGATTTTGATCCAGGGATGTTGTCTTTATTTAAATTATCATTCACATCTAAGGGCAAAAGGATCTGCTAAAGATTCACAAAGTATGTTACTTCTGTAAAATAATTACTGTACACAGTACTCCAGCCAAGTGAGATTTGAACCAGAGAATAGAAAGAGCATAACAAAAAACGAGTGAACAACCATGAGAGATTTCCAAATGTGAGTGCTACATTATGTCCCTTCTCACAGGACACTAAAATTTGGGGGTATTTTGTTATACAACAATAGATCCCAAAGCAGCAATTAATGTAGTAAAATATAATGTACTAATTAATATTACCGTAAAACTGTTAAAATGTTAAAAAACCCTAACAAATTGTGGGTTGTGACTTCTGAAGGACTACAGGCTATGTCATCTTTAGTTTTACATCCTTAGAACCAAGGATAATGCCTACATGGTAGGTACTCAGTAGAGGTTTGGTGATATGAATGAGGTCAAAGGACAGAATCCAAGGGGTTAGCATGGTTAGGAACTTCATGCTTAAGTACCAGCTGCTGTTCTCTTCTTAAATGATGAAATCTTGGACTTCTGAGTCCCCTGTGATGTACAACCAATTCTGTGTTAGCCAGTAGTTTAGCTAATTAAAATTCTATATAATTGGTACCACTTGACTCCTGCTGTCCTTTTAGAATTTATTAACTGTGAGAAGTTTTATCCTTTGGCATTAGATGAAAACATGAGTTTTTTTTCTCTCTGTGATAACAGAGTCGACACAATCACTTTTTTTTTTTTCCTTTTTGTCTTTTTTCGTGTCCGGCAACAGATCGCAACCCTCAGTGTCGC